ATCGACTCCGCCCCGGAGAGTTGTTTACGTTTCTCCGAGCTAACACAAGCCGACGAACGCGATCTCCCGGTGGTCGATATCGAGCCAGACGAAGTCGTCGTGCTGCCGTATTCGTCCGGAACCACGGGACTGCCCAAAGGGGTGATGTTAACGCACAAAGGGCTGGTCACGAGCGTGGCGCAACAAGTTGACGGTGAAAATCCCAACTTGTATTTCCACAGTGAAGATGTGATCTTATGTACTTTGCCTATGTTCCGTATTTATGCCTTGAACTCGATCATGCTTTGTGGGCTACGTGTTGGTGCTGCGATTCTGATCATGCAGAAGTTCGACATCGGATTGTTGTTGGAGCTGATACAGAAATACAAAGTTACCATTGCTCCGATCGTGCCGCCGATAGTTTTGGCGATCGCTAGGTCGTCGGAGACCGATAAATACGACTTGTCGTCGGTGAGGATGGTGAAGTCCGGGGCAGCTCCGTTGGGTCAAGAGCTTGAGGATGCTGTAAAAGTCAAGTTCCCTGGTGCCAAATTTGGGCAGGTGTGCAAGTTTAAATGTTTTTACGTGTCCTTTTTAGTCAAATTATTATTTAGCTTTGAAAATTCAGATTTATCATATTTTTTTTTTTAATGATATCATTAATTAAATTAAATTAATATCATTGACATTTGTAATTAAATGTTAACCTAAATAGATTCTTGAGAACAATTCTACAACTTATCATGCTAAACAGGCATTGAATCTGATAATAATTATGTCAAATTAAATTTGAATATAATAAAAATATTAAAGACAGATCTTTTAATTTGATGAAATTATTTTTTATATATTAGTTGACTTTTGACATGATATTTTATATTGATGCGATTAAAATTATAATTATTCACTTAATTTGGTGAATGTGGCTGGCCAACCTCATATGCCGCACCGTGTTGATTTGGTATCTTAGCTTAGGCACCACTGAAAGGAACATGGGAAAATTTTCAACAACCTTGGAACAACACTAACTTTGACGTACACTTTAATAATTAAATGTGACGAATAAGGAAAAGTGTGATTGTATCTTTGAAAAATATATGATTTATTTATGTATTTTTTAATGTTTTAATACAATTTTTTAAGTTTATACATATTTAGATAACATTTTATGTATATCCATCAACGATGACGACATACCAGATTTCAAAATTAATAGCAAAACGTTATTGTTTTGTAGGGTTATGGAATGACAGAAGCTGGACCAGTTCTAGCAATGTGCTTGGGATTCGCCAAGGAACCCTTCGAAATAAAATCCGGGGCATGTGGTACCGTCGTAAGGAACGCCGAGATGAAAATCGTCGACCCCGACACCGGTTCATCACTTCCGCGAAACCAGGCCGGAGAGATTTGCATCCGAGGAGACCAAATCATGAAAGGTATGTTACTTAATTTACCAAAAATGAAAAACGTCATGAGCAAACGTTAGCTGAATGTATTTTTGTTGCAGGATACCTTAATGACGATGAGGCCACAGCTAGGACCATAGACAAAGACGGCTGGTTACACACAGGGGACATTGGTTACATCGACGACGACGAGGAGCTCTTCATCGTCGATCGATTGAAGAATTGATCAAATACAAAGGGTTCCAGGTTGCACCCGCCGAGCTCGAAGCAATGCTCATCGCTCACCCCGATATCATTGATGCCGCTGTCGTCGCGTAAGTCTTAAACAACACATCGATATTTCTCCGCTATATCGAAATCCGGGCTCTTCGATTTAACCGTAATATGTGATTGCAGCATGAAGGATGAAGCAGCAGGGGAAGTTCCGGTGGCATTCGTGGTGAGATCAGAGAAATCGCAGATCAGCGAGGATGAAATCAAGCAGCACATTTCGAAACAGGTGGTGTTCTACAAGAGAATAAACCGTGTGTTCTTCATTGAAACCATACCAAAGGCGCCATCGGGGAAGATCTTGAGAAAGGAATTGAGAGCTAAACTGGCTACCGGAAACCATTGATTTCATGTTTCTGCAATTTGAAAAATAATATACGATGAGTGCAAGGACTAAATGGGAACTGTTCATATATGTTCCTTAAATCTGGAAATTTATATACAAACTGAGGTTGCAAAAATTGTAAATTGTGAGATAAACATTTCGATTTGCTGAAGGGGATGTAATGATTCATATAAATGTTTTTCATTTTTCAGAAAATGTAACTTTGATCTTTCAGTCCTTGTACTATTCTGTCTTTTAAGATTTGATCTCTCTACTTTTTATATCTTCAAATATCAAAATGTGGATTATTATAAATTTAGATTCAATAATGTGAATTAGACGTACTCATTAAAGTTATTGTTTTTATTTTATTATATAGCCATATTTTAATAAAATTTTATTTTAGTGTTTGTACTTTTGATTTCTTTTTAATTTTATTTTATATACGAGTTAAGTGATCTTGTTAAAGGACTTGTTATTTTATCTAGAGATCTCGGGTTCAAACACCGACAAATTATTATAATCTTCATTTTAAGTTGGTATTTGAATTTTTTAATATTCTAACTTCATACCTAGAATCTCATTCTAAATCAATCCTTAAACTTTTGAATATCATAATTTCATCCATAAACTATGGTCCTCTTTCTAAATTAGTCCCAAGCTTTTGAATATTCCAAATTCATCCAAATATGTAATTATTTTCAACAATAGTTTAACCTAAATTTTGTTTTTTTTCAAACATATAATAAAATAGCTTGGTCTAACGATTTTATTAACAAGGGATGTGATTAGTATATATTGTATACATATAGTTTGTGATGAAATTGGAATGTTAAAAAAGTTTAGGGAATAATTTAGAATAAAGATTATAATTTAGGGATGAAATTGAAATGTTCAAAATTTAATGATATGCACATAAACTTTAAAAGAAAACATTAGTAGCATATTTTTAACGAAAAATTTTTTAGGCATCAAAAGTCAATTTTAAGTATAATTTAGGTATTTTTTATATTAAGCCTTTATTTTAGTATTTTATTATATCGTATCTTTGCTTTTTTTTTCTTCTTATTTTTTAATTTTTAATAACTTTGCCTTTAAGGTGTGTTTTTTTTCCTATCTTTATGGTGCTTTTTTCTCTGTCTTTTGGCACATTTTCGACGATATTTTTTGTTTATCCTTTTGTTAAGACAAAAATATATGTCGGAAGACTCACCCACCAAAGTCAGGTGTGTGACGCGGGTCGGTCCGAATTAGTCAAGGCGAAGTCTTGGAACCGGGAGACAACAAAAAAAGATTAAAATATATAATCAAACATAATCAAATAAACTCGAATAAAACGTAGATAAGAATAAATATGATTGTATTAGTAAACGAATCACAAAATGGGATAAGCTATTCAAAGACAACCGACAAACCATATATTAGAATCAAACGATGCGAGAAAACTATCCACGAATGTAAATCGTGTATCCAAATCCAATTCGAGGTCCAAAGTAGGGAAGATCAACATGATAACAAATAAACGTCATCTTGATCAGTCGTGACAGTGTCAAATTCAGTAATCTTTTTCTTGCATGGTCTTTATATGATTTAAGTGATCAATTTTTTGTGTTAACGATTATAGAAAAATGTGAATATTATAAGTTTAGTTTATGATTATAAACTTTAATTATAATTTGAATATTTTTCAAATTTTAATAAAACTAACCTCTTCCCAATTTTTTTTTGAAATTATGAATTTCATTATATATCACATATTTTTGTTTGTTTATCTGAATAAAATATCCATAATTTCTTATTTTATAAATTAAAAACTTTTATATAAAATTGTTCAAATTTATATATTTTCCACATATCAAATACAAACCCTTAAATTAAATGAAGATCAAACTCTGACATTAGTTCTTTTACTATATAGATTCTAATTTAATTTAATTTAACTTTTTTATTTTTTAAAATTTTTAAAATTTTAATCCCTAGTAAAACAATAAAATGATAAAATAACTAAAGTATGGATATTTAAAATGAAAAAAAAATTAGAACTAAAAACTTAAATTTATAACTTATGCATATTACAAGAACACAAAGCAAACTCTTGCCAACACATCACCTACAACTGTCAGCATTTTGATTGACGGTTAGCATATGAAACGCCCCAACTGTCGACACATATGATCAACATGCAACCAATTAACTAATGAAATGCTGAACAAAGAGTTTGATATTTAGTCCGCATATTATGTGTAAATTATAAATTTAATTTATATATTTTTAAAATTTTGATTCTAATCTAAACAACAACCTTTAAATATGTTAAACCAAATCATGTTTTTCAGTTTAACCATTCATGTTGTCTGTATACCATTTGATTTACGACTAAAATTTGAAAATTACAGGATCAAAATTGATCAAAGAGTATAAGGACAAAATCCAAAACTTAAGCATAGTATAGGGATTAATGAAAAAATTTGACCTTTGGATTTTGTTCAGTGACGGTTAGGTTTAAAGCAGCGAGCTTTGAAAGGTAGTTGATAGCCAAGCTGCTGACAAATATGGCGCCAATTTTGGGTTCAGGTGAAACGTCGGTCAATTGCCAACAACTTGTCAACGGAAAACAAAACATGGGTTGTTGTTGTTGTTGTTGTTGTTGTCTCTTTATTATCTCACTTCACTTACCTGCCTTTGCTTCTTCATACTACTACTCAATAAACCCTCCACTACAGGAAAAGGAAGAGGAAGCTCATCGAATTCAGTCATTTCGCAGGCTTTACCCTTCTTCGTTCCGATACAAAGTAAGTCGTTAACCGGAAACACTGAGCGTCACGTTTTCGTTTGTCTGTTCTTTGTCTGAGCAGCAGCCAATGGTGGTTTTGGTCTTAATATGTGATACTGTTATGTTCTGTAACATTGTAGGATACACATTAACTTAGTTAATTTGCAGTATGCATGGGTTTATGTTCGAAAATGTACATGCCGTTTGAATTACAAATTGATCTGTCTCGGACCGATGTGTTTTACAGATCGAATCATGAGCGAGGAGCTCGATAAACCCTTGCTCGATCCCGAGAACTTCAACCGAGAAGGGATTGATTTGGTTAGTTCATATACTTCTACTAACAGAGCAGATACTGGAGATTTCCAGTATTTCTAAATCATATTTGTTTTCAATAGGAACGCTTACCGTTACATGAAGTTTTGAGCAACTGATAAATCCCAAGGAGGACTTACATCTGAAGATGCTGAAGTTCGAGTACATATTTGGTCCAAATAAGCTCGAGGAGAAGCCGGTAAGGCATTAACTGGTGGTCCGGTGCCAACTGAATACTCGATGATTCGAGTAATACTTTTAGACAAGTAATCGCTGCGTTTTTTATTCGAATCCAGGAAAACAAGTTTCTGAAGTTTCTAAGCTTTATGTGGAATCCTTATCATGGGTTATGGAAGCTGCCGCAGTGATGGCGATTGCCCTTGCCAATGGTGGTGTACGTTATATCTTTCTCTTTCACCAAGTACTTATCGAATTTCAACTTAATGGTCACCCTGATAGCTTTATGGGGTCTGTTATATGCCAGGGCGAGGGTCCTGACTGGCAGGACTTTGTAGGGATCATATGTTTGTTGCTTATCAACTCAACAATCAGTTTCATCGAAGAAAACAACGCTGGAAATGCCGCAGCCGCGCTTATGGCTCGTCTCGCTCCAAAAACAAAGGTGTTCAACTCTCTTATCTGCTGGTTTCATCGCCAATACAACAATGTGTTAATTTGCATAATCCTTTTTTATGCAGGTTCTCAGAGATGGGCAGTGGCAAGAGAAAGATGCTGAAGTTTTAGTACCAGGAGATATAATTAGCATCAAACTCGGCGATATCATCCCTGCAGATGCTCGCCTTCTTGAAGGCGATCCGCTTAAAATCGACCAGGTGAGTGCTAGGCTTGATAATTATCTCATTTGATTGTTTTCATTTATTCTGTCTGTTGAATAACTGGAGATATCATGTAAAAAAAATCTGTTTTGCAGTCAGCTCTTACCGGAGAATCCCTTCCGGTCACCAAGAGGACAGGAGACGAAGTGTTTTCTGGTTCAACTTGTAAGCACGGTGAGATTGAGGCTGTGGTTATAGCTACCGGAGTTCACTCTTTCTTCGGAAAAGCAGCACACTTAGTCGACTCCACCGAAGTCATCGGACACTTTCAGCAGGTGAATCTAATGCATAAAATTACTGATATGCGTGATCATTAGTGTAACTGAGTTAATCTTATATAAGTTGCAATATATCTGTCAGGTACTCACTTCCATTGGGAATTTCTGCATCTGCTCTATTGCCGTGGGGATGATTCTCGAAATCATCGTCATGTTCCCGATACAGCAACGATCATACAGATATGGAATTAACAACCTTCTGGTTCTCTTGATTGGAGGAATTCCTATAGCTATGCCAACTGTATTATCTGTTACTCTGGCAATCGGTTCTCATCGACTCTCTCAACAGGTACAACTATAATAGTCAATGCACATCGGAAATCATTCGAATAGCACGGCAACAAGCCGAATACTTACGCTTAATCGATTGCAAATCTCTTTTTTTGTTTGTTTTTTCAAGGGTGCCATCACTAAAAGGATGACTGCAATGAAGAAATGGCCGGAATGGATGTACTATGCAGTGACAAAACTGGAACTCTGACCTTGAATCGCTTAACTGTTGATCGAAACCTTGTCGAGGTACAATAGCTGGACTTCAAACCTGTGAACTCCTAATTCTTTCAATGCCTCGATTTTCAGATGCAGGCTAATAGCCAAGCTTACCTTTTGTTCTAAAGGGCTTACCTTTTGTTCTAAAGGTTTTTAGTGATGATATGGACAAAGACATGATTGTTCTGCTTGCAGCAAGAGCCTCGAGACTCGAAAATCAGGATGCAATCGATGCAGCCATTACTAACATGCTTGCAGACCCGAAGGAGGCTCGTGCAAACATCAAAGAAATTCACTTTCTGCCATTCAATCCAGTGGACAAACGTACTGCAATTACGTACATTGACTCAGAAGGAAATTGGTACCGTGCCAGCAAAGGAGCTCCCGAACAGGTAGCCATCTCCTTTAACTCTTCTCGAGTCTGAGCTGCCTTCATGGCAATATGGTGCAATGAGCACAGGAGATTCACTTCACTCTCACTCATCATTCTTCTTCGTCTTCTATATATCAGATTCTAAGTCTTTGTGAAGAGAAACACGAGATTGCTGGAAAAGTTCATGCTATAATCGACCGTTTTGCCGAGAGGGGCTTGCGGTCTCTTGCAGTCACTTTTCAGGTATGATACCGTTCCCGATGTGTTGCGGTTTGATATTGGTACTGAAAATTGAATAAACGAAAATTATTTGAGTTTCCCCAAATCATTCAAGTTCCTTCCTAACATGTTTATGAACTGGCATGATCATCTTCTCAGGTAGTACCGGAAAGAACCAAGGAGAGTCCAGGAGGTCCCTGGACATTTGTGGGTTGTTGCCTTTATTCGATCCTCCGAGGCATGATAGTGCCGAGACCATTCGTCGAGCCTTAAACCTCGGAGTTTGTGTAAAGATGATTACAGGTACATATGAATTACTTTAGCATGCTAGAACTTAATATGATTTTAAACCCGAAAAGCAGCATTTTTGCAGAAAAAATACTGATATATCCTATACATACTAATATAGGTGACCAGTTGGCTATTGCGAAGGAGACCGGAAGAAGACTGGGTATGGGGACAAACATGTATCCTGCTTCATCATTATGGGTCGCGAAAAAGATGAGAACGAAGCTATTCCGACGGATGAACTCATTGAAAAGGCCGATGGCTTTGCTGGAGTATTCCCAGGTATGATTCTTTTCAGAAAAGAATTATAACGTTTTAGCCTGTATGGATCTTTGCTATACATGTGTTATCTGCTATGTGATTTCATCCTCTGACTCGCCTACATTTCGGTACGATTTCCAAGAACACAAGTACGAGATCGTAAAGATTTTACAAGGAAAGAAGCATGTGGTGGGAATGACAGGAGATGGTGTGAACGATGCGCCCGCTTTGAAGAAAGCAGACATCGGAATAGCAGTGGCGGATGCTACAGATGCTGCAAGGAGTGCTTCAGATATAGTCTTGACCGAGCCTGGATTAAGTGTGATAATCAGTGCTGTGTTAACAAGCAGAGCTATATTCCAAAGGATGAAAAACTATACTGTAAAGTATTGAATCTTTCGTTCCGAAAAGAGCCTAGATTTTCTAGTTGATATAACTGACTAGCCTTCTTGAATTTGCAGATATATGCTGTGTCGATAACTATTCGAATAGTGGTATGTTAACTTTTTTTTCACAGTTCCTACTGTTTTGCTCACTTTCATGGAATCCTAAGGTTTTGTACACTGATCTGTTTGTTCCATAAATAATCACACAATTGCAGCTTGGTTTTGTGCTTCTAGCTCTGATATGGGAATATGATTTCCCACCTTTCATGGTTTTGATCATTGCAATCCTTAACGACGGTAAGTTTTCGATCTATGATGCCCACTCCTTCGGGTGTTTTTCTTAAGTATTCTTAGTGGAAAGCTTACCTCAGATTCTCAATCAGGAACTATCATGACTATATCCAAAGATCGAGTAAAGCCATCTCCGAGTCCGGACAGTTGGAAGCTTAACGAGATATTCGCAACCGGCATTGTCATCGGAACCTATCTTGCCTTGGTTACTGTCCTCTTTTACTGGATTGTAGTTGATACAGATTTCTTTGAGGTACTTCTTGATTCACTTTCAACTGTTTATTTGGGGAAGATAATTGCGTTCCCTGAACTTTTCTTTTCTTTCCTGCAGACTCACTTCAATGTAAAGTCTATATCTGACGATACCGAGCAAATATCCTCTGCGGTATATCTTCAAGTTAGCATCATTAGCCAGGCTCTCATCTTCGTTACCCGGAGTCGAAGTTGGTCGTTCGTCGAGAGGCCTGGTGCTCTCTTGATGTGTGCATTTGTGGTGGCTCAACTGGTGGCTACCTTGATAGCAGTGTATGCACATATTAGCTTTGCTTATATCAGTGGCATTGGATGGGGATGGGCTGGTGTTATATGGATATACAGTTTAGTTTTCTATGTTCCCCTCGATATCATCAAGTTCTTCATTCGCTACACGTTGAGCGGAGAAGCCTGGAACCTCCTATTTGATAGAAAGGTCAGTGTACTCGTCCTTGTTTCAAACTTATTATGGTATAAATCTTACCTTGAAGAGGCTTCTCATGGCTTCTATGTGCAACAGACTGCATTTACTTCGAAGAAAGACTACGGGAAAGAAGACCGGGCAGCCAAGTGGGTTCTTTCTCAGAGGAGCCTGCAGGGCTCGATGGCTGCAGACTTGGATTTCAACGGCAGAAGATCGAGATCTTCTTTGATAGCCGATCAGGCCAGGCGGCGCGCTGAAATAGCAAGGTACCTTCAGTTTTACCTCAATTGCATTGGCTACCTGCTAACAACTTAACAATGAGCATCTTTTGAAACAAGCTTTTGCTGAAACGATGCTTCGACTTTTGCAGACTTGGGGAGCTGCACACTTTAAGAGGTCATGTAGAATCAGTTATGAGGCTTAAAAATTTGGATTTAAACACGATTAAATCGGCTCATACGATCTAGAAAATGAACGCGAGCATCGTGTTTACCGGTATTCTACCGAAGATAAAGCCGGCTGAGATAAGAGCATTGCTAGTTAAAATATAGAACGGTTGCCTTTGTCTTGAAGTTTCAATATTCTTCTTTGCATTTGCAGAAAATGTTGCAATATTTAGTAAAATCCCAAAACAATAAGCTACTTGAAAGAGTTGAATTCTTTTCTTTGATGAATTTTTCATGGTCCTGAGCTGGCGAAGAAACACACAATCTAATGTAGGTATTGACACAGTTTTCATGCACTAATCCTTCCATTATCATAAGTTCGATCGACAGAGAAGATCGATAGAAACTGGTGAGTACAAAGCTAGTAGTAATACATGGAAAAGAGATAAAAGGCTTACGCACTGAGAAGATTCCTAGTAGGAGGACATCCGAATACCACGAATCTTTTTGAGTCTTATGGAGTAGACATAATTTGTTGCACAATGTGCTGATATACCAGGAATTAACAATCCTAGTACCCTGATAAATATGGAGAACCATCCTTCCTTGTACTCAGGGGCATAGGTGTATCCCATGGCCAAACTTCTCATTAACTCCCAAACCGCAGTGAGATACACGGGGACTATATGTGTTATTCCAAAGAAGTTCTTATTCGGCTCCTCGTCCACTCACTTTAAACAAAAACAGAATAAAACACGAAATTAACTCGATATGATGAAAGTAGGTGGACAAAACAGCATTTGTCAATGAGCATGGAAGTGACATAGGTGTAGATTATACCTGCTCGATATAGCATCTGTTGTAGTAAAGGCACACCCTGAAATGCTTATACAAAGGTTTTATCATCATAAGGCAACCTGGGCACCAAATCATTGCAGTAAACAACTCTGAAATACTTGGGGACCGGGTGATCTAAATGAGCTTCCATGAATCTCCCGATCTGCCTCTGTTACCGATCCTCGGCTGTCCAAAAGTGTATACCCCGAGCAACTTTTCAAGTAACTGTCTCCTCATGCAGAATGAGCACTGTAGGAAACAAAATCGCCAGAGCTCCTCCTAAGCTATTCCCGGTGAATATATATTTAGCATTCTTGTGCTCTTCTAACAAGGTCTTGAGCTTTTCTCTCACCATATAGTACGCGGTCTTCTCCACCATTTCCAGTGGGATGCCCTTTAGACCAATACCAGTGGATAGTTCGGAAAAGCTGTGCTTTGTGCTTCTCTTCTGAAGATGATGATAGAAGGAAGTGGTATCTTCTCTATTACCCAAACCTAATGCCTCTAGAAATCCCATATGAAGCTTTCCTAAATTCAGAATTTCGTACCAAGAGTAGTCGAAATCAGTACTCCAATCATCGGCATCAAAAAGATCCGTGCCATGGATGCTGATCAATATCAGATTCGAATCCTCCGGCTTGTCACATAACAGAAAAACTTGAGTGGATTTCTCCTTTTGGTAATCTATGAAATGGAATTCGAGTTAATACACCATTCACAACATTCAGTATGTGCTATTACCGTCCCAGCAGTGGTAGAAGTCCACAAAGTTCATCTGCATATGTTTAGGCTCATCGATTTCAAATCAAAGATCATCGGAACATAGTAAAAAACAAATTCAGGTCCGAGAAAAGCAGTATAGTAGCTTACCTTCCAACGATTAACAACGACATTCCTTACAACCTGGGCGTTCTCATACGCTAGCTTGGATGCCATCAAACAGAGGTCCGTCTTTGCTTGGTTATCGAATTCAACATTCGTGATTCCCTCCCCTGGAGCAGAATTATGCAATCTTGCACCAACTTTTCGCCTTGGTGGAGGTTCATTCTCGGTTCTCTGTGTCCAATGGTACTAATAAAAGTCTCAGTGCCTCTTTTCAGTATAACTACATCTCCTGCAACTCACAGTCATCTCAGTAGCTAAAAAATTATGGGTTTTTTTGTGTTTCAAACAAATATGAATACGGGGGATTCAATTAGACAATTTACCCTTGAGAAGATTATATAACAAGCCCAAGATGGAGCCATTCTGAGAAAGAAGATTGAGGAAGAAATCAACCACATAACCGGTTAACTCCATGTGCTTGCCGAGAAAGTGAAGGATCTTGCGTGCAACGATGGAAACCAGAATGACCCACCGGTGGTCGGCGGCTTCTCCACCGGCCACCACCACCGCATCCTGGTCGGAGGCTTCCAGGAACTTCACCAAACTGTCTATGTCACCCGACAATGAGTAGCTCAACAGATCCCAAATCCCACCCTTGTCTGGTCTCACGATCAGGTACCTGAAAACATCATCGTCGTTCTTGTCCGGGAACTCGCTGATGCCTGCCATGGCGGTGAACTTGCGTCTGTTTCCTCGGGGGGGGGGGGGGGTTGGAAGCTTCTACGGTGCAATATGTTTTTTTTCCATATTTTATTCCAACAACGAAGTTGACATTAATTGACAAGTATAATAACGTAGGGCAGGTGTAATTTGAAGCTGACGGAACAATGCCGGAATTTAAGATTTGATTTTGAACATCGCAATCTCAAAATTATAGTTAGAAAGGGTTGCACGAAACTACTAAACCACGTCGGTGTTTAATCGAAAATGCTTGTAAGAAAATAAAATGAACTGTACGTTGTAAGAAAATTTGTTGACAGGATCATCTTTCTTCCTTTTTATCGACGAGAAACAAGTGTCGGTTACTTCGGTTAAAAAATATATTAAACTACCTTTCTGGTCACATATCTATTACTTGATTTCTAAGTTGGTCATTTAATTATTATTTTTTCGAAATATCGTAAAGCTCTTCTCGTGTAAGCACGTGGCTGGGAATTTTTGTTCAAAGGATCCACTAGGTAGGGATGGCAAAAAAAAAAAAAACTGTACCCGACGGGAAAAATTAAAAATCGAATTAAACGGGGACGGAGAAAAATCGTTTATGTTAAATGGGGACGGGGACGGGTTTAGTAATCCCCGCCCCGATACCCGCCCCGATAAATATTAAAAATAATTATTATATGTATAATATTAATAAATTTAATTTAAATTTAAATATATATATATAATATTTATGTATTTAATTTAAATATATATACCCGGCCCGATACCCGTTTAAATAATCGTTTATGCTAAATGGGGATACCCGTTTCCCCGCGATTTTCCCCGATTACCAGATGGGGATCCCCGTTTAAATCCCCGCGATTTTTTAACCAGGAACGGGTACAGATTTTTTAAGCGAGAACGAGAACGGGACAAACAATATCTGGCCCGAACCCGGCCCTTTGCCATCCCTACCACTAGGCAAGAATATGTAGCCTCACGTGCAGCTGGTTCTATAATGATTGCAAGGTTAATGTTAGGAAAAAAGTCCAACTATTTAACAATCAACAAGGATAAAATTATGATCAAATATTGAAGGTACAAATCTATTAAATATTTAAGTCAAGAAACAGAAGAGAAAGGCTTTGTTTGATTAACATTTAAATTAAAATGTACTTAAATTATTGTTGTACCAAAATATTTGGGAGGGGAATAGTCCTCCCATACAAAGAATGGGTTTTTAATGGATTTTGAGACATTTATCAAGTTCGGTTTAAACCGGTGAATGACAAATAGCTAAATTTCGAAACGTCGAAAATTCTATTTGTATCACCCCTCACGCCAACGACAATAGAGATAAGATGGACACTTGTAGACTTTGGACGACGTAAGGAACACAATAGTGTAAGAAGTGTCGAAAACGGAACAACGATCGGCGATGAAATAACGATTGAAATTTATTGCTAAAAGAGGAAAGCTTGAAGAGAGAAAAAAAAAACAAGGTTTTCTAAAGGATGAAGCTTTTTAGATTTGGGGTTATAAATTCCCTAAAAAGAGAAATGGTAAAATCAAACTTTAAATCCTCCATTTTTGGTACTTTTTGAATTTAGATATGAATTTAATCAAAATTTCACTTTGGCCCCCAAATTTAGTTAAAATTTCAATTTAGTCATCGGAAGGATTTTAAGAAAATTTTTAGACTCTAATTTAGGGTGTGACATGAATACATAACGCTTTTTTTTTCTAATGAAAAGGAAAGGCTAAGTAATTACATCAGCCATCCATAAATAACGCGGGCCATGAACATCTCTAGTAAGATTAAGAATATGGCGAAGACCAATATGAATTAAATTGAAAATAGCTAGGAACCTATCCTTTTGAGAGTGTATTTGGTCGTATAATCAAGCAGCTTAATTAGCTTCAGTTGTGATCCGAATAACTTGACATACCAGCCTTTTTTAAATTTGAGTAATTACAAGACATTATATGTTTAAAGATAATTCTAAACCATTTGATATTAAATGTTCATACTCTTAACATTCATATTAGTCGAACCTGAGGCCTTAATAATAACAATATTTTTTACTACCGATATAATTTGATTCGTACGACATTCTACGCTTCTTGGTTAAAAGAAAAAGGGAAATAATTGAGTTAGGTTTCTTTTATTCAAAGGGAATGGGCTGAGTAGATATGCCTTTGCTGTATCTTGAAGATTGAGTTATAATTTTGGGCCCATATTTCCGAGGCTTATTGGTTAAAACTCTTAGGAGAAGCCCACAATTCTATTTTACGTCTTGCAATTTGCATACGCATAATAGCCGACAAGCTTCTTCATTTCACCTTTTATTTTTATTATTTTTAAAAATTGTTAAAATATATAACAAAAATTAAAATGAAAATCTGTCTCATATATTACATATCCAAATTCAATATACATTTTATAACAAGCATTAAGCTTTTGCAATTCCTATTTTTAATTTTTAAATTCTTAGAAAATACAAAAATCATATTTTTTTGAAAAAATTGGATGATATTACAATAACAAACAATTTAATAGAATACAGAGGAAATCATGGATAATTCCACGTATCACCAGCATAAAATGGAATGAGCTTGCAAACGTTGTATTTGAAGTTAAGGACAAATTTTGTAATAAAATAAAAGCTACGTGGCGCATAGCGTAGCGCGACACATCTTTGCTTGTGTCATTTTTCCTACCATTTTGTCGTCATTTGTTTTTTTAATCTGTACTATCCATTTATAATACAACAAGTAATTTTCTTCAATTTCACATTTCATTTTCAATACAATATTTAAATTATTGTTTAATTATGAATTTGGTCTTTTATGAAAATTAAAAAAATTAATTAATTATCAACAATCAATTAATCTAGTAAGCTAAGACATTAAATCTTTTAAATAATGTCAAAGTTTTTATATTAATGTTTGTGAAAAGAGTAAATTAAATTACGAGAGTCGTACTCATAATGTGTCTTTACAAAATCCGATCTAAAATAGTAAAAAAAATGGATATCGGTGATTAAACTAAAAAAAATCATCTAGTTAAACACTATTATTAAAACTTTTTATTAAATAATTGATTTCAAAATTAACAGTTTAATAATTTATATATAATAAATTCGTAATTAATGACTTAAATTTAAAAAATTACTAGGTCAAATTCATTTATGCACCAATAATTATTGTAATAACGTAAAAAATTATCTTATTCTTCTATCAATAATGAATTATTAAAATTATTGTAATAAATTTACTCTTAAATATATACATAATAAATTATTTTAGTGATTAAAAAAATAATTGTTATCCTTAAAAGTTTATGTTCAAGCATATCATAAGTCAATGGTATTTAAGCATTTAATATCAAATGGATTAAGAGTATTTAGAATCGATATTAATTTACAATCATCATTAAATTAATAAAAAAAATATTTTCAAAAATAAAATATTCATAAACAGTAAAATTTAGTATATTAAATTAATTATGGGTGGCATTGGAACAAGGAAACCGACACTTTGCTTAAACAGCAAGAATTTGTATAGGTTGGTTGATTTTAACATTGAAACTAGTTCATTTAATTTTGTTATTTTGAAAGCTTCAGTCATCATTTCACTGTCTTTCAACTACCCTTTGAGAACGACACATTTTCATCAAGTCAACATTTTAACTTGCTTTTAAATCAACGTAATACAAATGATTAATATGTTAATTTAGTTTATAAATTAAATTTTAATTTAATCGATATTATTATTATTATTATTATTATATATAAATATATGAACTTATATTTTTTATTTATATATAGGAAGAAACTTGGATATAAATTTTATATTAAATTATAATAATTTAAAAAATGATAAAATAAATAATTGTTAAATTTTCATATTGAAAAATAAAGGAGGCATATGGTTGACTTTTAAGGTATAAGAGAATCGGGAAAATTTAGCTTCCCGCCCTTAATTACCCGATTAAATTCCATGCGACGTAATTAGGAATAAACTACTTTGATTAACTATATTCTCAAGGTACCACCCAAATTTTTAAACAAGTTATCTTTTTCCTTTAAGCTTTAATGTTGCACCAATTTTTTTTTCTTATCTGTTGTTAGTATTTTTTTTCCCATATTTGTGTTTGACGATAGTATTCATCTTAGCGCTAATCGTCGAATGTCAATATTCATTATTTGTCATTTTTTTATTATATCATATTTTTGGTTTTTTTTAGTTTTTTTATTTTTAATAATTTTAACTTCATGACATGTCTTATTCCGCCTTTATGACACATTTTTCTCTATCTTTATGACATGTTTTTTGATCATTTGACCGTTGGTTTAGTTTATCTTTTTTCTTCAGTGTTTGATTTGACATTGTCACGACTGATCAAGATGATGTTTATTTATTATTATGTTGATCTTTCCTACCTCGGTAGTCTTTTAGTGATTTCATCCCCTTTTGTGGTTTGTTTGTTGATGCACTCAGATCTGTTCATATCTATAATTTGTTTGAGTTTATTTGATTATATTTTTGAACATTTTCATTACATGGGGTCATTGAGTGATTTTAAGTGTTAGTTTTTTATGTTTAATTTACAATTATAATTGTAAACTTTATCATAATTTAAATATTTTATACATTTAATGAAATTAAGGACTTCTAAAAAAACAAGTCATGTTTCATTAACCAAATATACTTTGATTAATCAACCAAACGTACTTCATCAATCCGTGATTTAATCTCTAAAGCATTGAGTTACATTATCTCATATTTGTTGTCCTTATATAGCATGGGTCATATATTTGATGCCAACCTCAAAAGCTGTATAATCATAATCATAATCATAATCATAATCATAATTAAAAAATATCAACCCTAAAATCATGTGAAAGTTACATCAGTATAACTGCTATTTTAGTATTGCATACTAATTAATAACCATTATTCTATTTTAATATTTTCGTTTATTAAAATCTTAAATTTAACTTTAATTCATAAATAAAAATATTGTGTAATAATTATAAAGAATGTAATGGAAACTCTTATAGCAGAATTCAGTAATTTTGGGGGGAAACAATTCACCTACCAAAGCCATAAACATCTCTCTACTTTTTTCAATTTTGTTAACAGTTTCCAGTAACGTAAAAAAGAATAAAAACAAAAACCCAAATTACAAAATTGGGAATTTTTTATGCTTGTAATTGTCTATATACATATATATATTGGTGTAAAATGATAATGTTATAGTCACAGGGAATGTACATATAAAGCGTGAGGCTTTGGATTCTTCTGGCTAATCGTGCTGCCAGATTTTGCCTTGGTTTTATGAACTAATGGCTAAATAAGTATAAAATCTACAACAGAAAAAAGAAAAATAATCGAGAGAGAAGAATAAGAATAAAAAGGGTGTTAAACCAAGCCAGTTTTGGTTTCTGGGAAGGGACCAGTTTGTAGAAAGATGGTGAAGAATTGGAGGAAAGCTTTGATTTTGGTGCTGTTTACAGTCTGCATTCTGGGGTTTAAGCCTGGATTTGTCAATGGCGAAACGGATCAAGGAGATGGTTAGTGTTACTTTGTTTTGCTTTTTCTGATTTATTGTGTTTAGATTCATTGATTTTGCATTTGCCTGCTTTTTCATTACCGAATCTGTGGTTTTTGGTTGGCTTATGCTTTCTGCTATGCTCATCTGTTTTGAGCTGCTCGTGGCTTAAAATGGACTTGTTTGATTGCAATGGCATTTTAACTTTTTCGTTGGTGTTTATAAAGTTTTGACCTTGATTTCCAAAGGCGGGTTCTTGTAGATTGTGTAGATAAGTAAAGGATGAGGAAAGTTAGATTCTTTAGTTGTCGGTTTAATTGATGAACTTGCTGCCTGCTGGGATATGAGTTCCTGGACAAGTTTACAACCTTTTTTGGCGTTTCTCTTGATTGCCGCTGACCGGACTACCTTAATGGCTATAACTTGCTGAACCTATACCGGCAATCGAAATGATTCACATATCAGTGCTGTAGAATCATAACATTTGATAAGCTCCATCTCTTTGTAGATCTTGTTTAGGGCTAGGTTTTGCTGATAGTTATCAATAAAACCTCTTTCTATTAATGGTCCAATCCAATCGGGGATGATATTTTACCCTGCAGCTGCCAAAATCAATCCTCCAAAATGTTGAAATGGAAATATTGAGGGATGGGTTTGATTCACATATCAGTTTTCTGCAAATAAATCAGTTTTCTGTTTAGAGGTTGATACTTGAAACTGAGATGAATTAGTTATCGGATTTCCCGGTTTCATTTTTGTTCTAATATTTCTAGCTAAATGTTGTGCCTTCAAGTGTTCTTTAATGGAGGTTTAGCTTTAGCTGGTCATGTTGTTTAATGGAAGTACTTATAATTAGAAATTATCTCCTTGTGTCACTCCTTCTGCATGTTGGGATGCTTGATGTGCAGTGTCTGCTCTAGGGGTTATGTACAGTGCTTTAAATTCACCACAGCAGCTAACCGGGTGGACCGCTAGCAACGGTGATCCATGTGGGCAGTCCTGGAAAGGTGTTACTTGCTCAAACAAACGTGTCACCGAAATGTGATCTTCTGTTATCTCTGCTTTCCTTTGAGAGATCTTGTCCTACATCTTGCTAATATTAACTACATTATGTTATTCTATGTCTTTTTCTCAGTAAACTGTCGAATCTTGGACTTTCCGGGACAATGGGTTACAGCCTTCAAAGTTTGACATCATTGAAAGAATTGTAAGAATTCTATAATCTTCAATAGTGTATCGTTTTGTTCAATGTTCATCATCTGATTCAGACTGATGTTTTGACAAAACCTGCAGGGACTTGAGCCATAACAATCTTGTTGGAGACATACCATATAATATTCCTCCAAACTTGCAGCGATTGTATATTTCATTTGTGCATTTGTTTCCTTTTCGTTTTCTTTTCTTTAAGTGATTTATATATAATGTTCATCCGAATGCAGAAATCTTGAATCTAATCAATTTACCGGAGGCGTCCCTTTTTCCATCAGTCAGATGCCTTCTCTTCAGTACCTGTAAGTAATGTTCCAAATATTCATCTCTCGATCCGAGGTCCTCATACATTTAAAACATTTAACCCTCTTTTCTTTTCTGCTTTCCCATTTCTGGAAAATTCAGGAATCTTGCTCATAACCAGCTTCAGAATGCCTTGAGTGACATGTTCGGATCGCTTTCTTCCCTCTCCACATTGTAAGATGTTCACATTATACAATGTTTAATTGCCCGTCTTTAAGCTATTTTAACCGAAAGACCTAGTTACATTTTATATTTATTCCTTGCTTCAGGGATCTCTCTTTCAATTCTATGACCGGTTCTCTACCCGAGAGTTTTAAGAATCTTACCAGTATAAGCACTATGTAAGTATTAGAGGATATCTTTTGTAGAACGCTTTATATGATGGATTTTTCCCTATATGTATTATTTACCCTTCTGTAGGTACTTGGAAAACAACCAGTTTTCGGGCACTATCGATGTCCTTGCAAATCTTCCCCTTGATAAATTGTGGGTAACCAACTTAACATTTTGAAAATTCTAGATGTCATATATTGTTTTCGTATTATGTAATTGACCCTATGATACTGCAGTTTGTGATAGTTGTTGTTCTTTTTTGGTCTCACAGAGATGTTTCCAATAACCGGTTTACCGGCTGGGTGCCTGCTCAATTGAAAAGTATCAATTTGAAGTAAGCATTCAACCTCGTTAACTTTTGAGGTCTCTATATGGTATCAAAGAAAAATCTTTGTAATTTTGACCTGAATAATCTTTATGACAGGACGGACGGTAATTCATGGAGCTCGGGGCCTGCACCCCCACCTCCACCTGGTACTCCTACTACTAGAAACACCAGAAAGCACAAATCTGGTAGCAATGGTTCCAAATCAGATGGTGGTTCCAATAGTGGGAGTAGCAGTTCAGGAATCGGAGGTGGAGCCATAGCTGGAATAGTGATATCAATCCTCATTGTCGGGGCTATTGTAGCATTCTTTTTGGTGAAGAGAAGATCCAGGAGGTCGTCCTCAGATATTGAAAAGCTCGATAATCAACCCCTTGCTCCTCTTGCTTCTAATGAAGTGCAAGGTAACTCTTGTAGTCTACTGAATAGATGCTAAAGTCTTTCGGTTTTTAACACATTTTATAGTTCTCTTGATCTAACTCTTTGTTTATCATGCTTGAAATTGTAATGCAGAAATAAAATCCGTGAAGTCTTCATCTTCATTTGATAGCCAGGCACTTGACACACCCCTTTCAATAAATCTTCGACCCCCTCCTGTCGACCGTCACAAATCATTCAATGAAGAAGAGTTCAATAAAAAGCCTATTGCTGTTAAGAAAGCTGTACCGCCTCCTACAAATGTTAAATCATATTCAATAGCAGACCTCCAGATGGCTACAGGCAGTTTCAGTGTTGAAAATTTTCTTGGTGAAGGGTCTTTTGGACGAGTTTATCGAGCTCAGTTTGGCAATGGAAAAGTATAATCTTGCTGCATATAAAATCCATAGTCAGTCATAATAAATGAAGCATTTTCTTTGCTTGAATTTTTATAGCTATTTCAGTTTTTTACATGCTCTAACTTGAGAAATAAACTTTTTATCTGCATATTTAATCTTCTAATCACCGATATCATTGACCTTCATAAGTTTTTCCCCGTAGTTTGCCATTTTATTTCCTTAAATTCTTTTAGAAATGTTATACTATGTACTCACCTAGCAGGTATCTTGTGTTCATACTGCCATAGGTTTTGGCTGTGAAGAAAATAGATTCATCAGCTCTTCCCAGTGGAATGTCTGACGATTTTATGGAGATGGTTTCAAATATTTCCCAGTTGCATCACACAAATGTGACGGAGCTGGTTGGATATTGTTCGGAACATGGACATCACCTCATTGTCTATGAGTTCCACAAAAACGGTTCACTTCACGATTTCTTGCATATACCAGATGAGTACATCAAGCCATTAATTTGGAACTTGCGAGTCAAAATTGCTTTGGGGACTGCACGTGCACTAGAGTAAGTCAGAAATTCAGTCATGGGCGATTATAGCTATTATTCGTTGTAGAATTTTTGCCTATTCGTATTACGGGACCTGTTTGAACCTTGCAAAGTCAGGTAGTTTCTGATGAGGGTAACAATATCTGCAGTATTAGTTATGTCGGACTGATTATGGTTTCGAATTAACCATTTGTAAGTTGCTAGTAGAGTACGTGTTGACTATTAGGAATCTTGAAATATTAGTTAAGATCGAATACGTACCATGTCCTGCTGTAAAAGTCATCTAGGAAGTAAACTTTCATTCCTGCAGAGATTATTATATATTGCAAATGAGCAATGGTGACTCGGAATTCTTAAAAGGATCTTTTTATGCTTCAGGTACCTGCATGAAGTTTGCTCTCCATCCGTCGTTCATAAAAATATCAAGTCAACAAACATCTTCCTTGATTCTGAGCTCAATCCTCACCTTTCTGACTCGGGCTTGGCAACCTTTATTCCGAAAGCAGATGAGGTACATTTGTACTGTGTTAATGCTGAAAGTGACTGATGAAAATCCGGAATATGAAAATACTTCCGTGACCTATATTGACCATGGTCAAAGACTCAACGTACCGAAGGGTTTCAATTGTTACTTGCGTTTGTACTGAAATCGTCTCACTTTGGTATGCAGGTATTAAATCGCGACGATGCAGGGTCTGGATACAGTGCACCGGAGGTTAAAATGTCCGGCCAGTACTCTCTTAAGAGTGATGTTTACAGTTTTGGAGTGGTTATGTTGGAGCTTCTCACCGGACGTAAGCCCTTTGACAGGTGAGGAATAATTGCCCGGAAGTCGCTTAGTCCATTCATGGTGTTAGCTTCCTGTTAGTTAACCACAGTCCTAACTATCATGTGACTGTTTTATTACAGCACAAGGCCCAGACTAGAGCAATCTTTGGTTCGATGGGCAACACCTCAACTCCACGACATCGATGCTCTATCCAAGATGGTTGACCCGGCACTCGAAGGGCTTTACCCGGTTAAATCTCTCTCTCGTTTTGCTGATGTCATCGCTCTTTGTGTCCAGGTAATGTCTTGGCTGAAAAACGAAAGACGACTTGTGTTTCGTGTTTTTGCCTTAATTGAGTATCAAACGACGTTTTCCTGACATACAGGAAGACGAGAACTTCTTTGCAAGTCACCAATTTTGACGTAAACTGATATTTTTTTACTTTCTTTCTTTGGTGCAGCCCGAGCCTGAGTTCCGACCACCTATGTCGGAAGTGGTTGAAGCACTGGTTCGGCTCGTGCAGCGAGCTAACATGAGTAAGCGAACAACAGGGATGGAGCAAGGTGCATCTCCGCGAACCAACAACCCTAATGATACACATGACTACATGTAATGACGAAAGATCTCTTGATTGATTGTTTTGGTGATGAGGACTTTGAGATTGTAATCATGTTCGAACGTTTTATTTTTGGGTTTCATTGTAAAATAATTATACATTCCTTAACTTTAGTTTTGGTTTCAATTCAGTCCCTGCAGTTTGTAATATGTTGCAGTATAGTCCAACTGGTGATACCCTCACATTGAAATTCTTTCACCCTTCTGTACGTGTACTTTTAAACTTTTTTCTCTCTCAAATAATAAGGCATGCAGTATTCTCTTAGTTATTTCCTTTCGTACTCATAAATCAAAGAATATTACCTGATCATCTCCCTTGTTCGCCACTGATCAAATTGCCCTTTTTACCACAAAGGCTCGACTCGATTCTTGTCCATTTTCCCATTTCCATTCCCCCCCCTTTTGTTTCTTTGACTCGTCATCAACCTTTAGATATGTACGTTTCCTCCGTCAATGGCCATCAATTTCAAGACCCTATGGTGGCCTTCGGAGGACGGTACTTGTACCTTCGTCTCCACGACGATTCATTGTAACCACCACAGTGCACCATATCCAAGCCAAAGTCTTAAGCGAAACCTAAATTTGGAAATTGGTTCAGCTTTGTATTAGTTTGAGTGATCAAATGTTCTTGGTCTTATTACAATGTCTTTGAACATATTTGAAGAAAATTCCTCTTGTTGAACTGAATCATTATTCTCCTGTACTTGCTCTAGAATGTGAATAGTCTTGTTGTGAATAATGATTAGTGATGAATGATAATTGACTGACAGATAATTGTAGAAGTGATGATTTTTTGTGAAAAAATGAAGAAGAGTTTAGTGTTAAAACGATATGTAATATAAAGTTCAGTGACTAATGGTATAATTTAACCATAAAATTATACAAAGCCCACATTTCTTTGGCAACAAGTTTGGTACGGCTTTGGCTTTAACTTATATATATATATATATATATACGCATATAAAGATAGCCGAACAGATTCAAACCAAAGACGGCCGATTGAGAGGTTTCGAATTCGACGGCGAACCAGATTAAAACCCCCTTTTTGTAACAGTTACAGGTTCCGCTAGAGAGCCCAAAGAATGGCACCAGAAATGACATCAAGGAAGAGAAGAACCCCCGGCCTCTTGACGAAGACGATATCGCACTCCACAAAACCTATGTAATTTAGCTATCTTTCTCTCAGCATGTCCGCTATAGGAGATTGCTTCCATTTTTTATCTTTTATTATATTATCTTTTCTGTTGAGAAGCGATCATAGGATCTACCTCTAATTTCTAGGGTGTTTGAAAAAAGTGGGCATGTTAATTTTTATGCTCCAGGTATTTTATTTAGGCCTTTGATAGTGTTGCTTAACTACATTGCAAATTTCGTTTCATATTTGCAGGGTTTAGGGCCTTATTCAACGAGCATCAAGCAAGTTGAAAAGGAGATTAAGGAAATGGCAAAGAAAGTAAATGATTTATGCGGTATGTGCTTTACCCTTGTCTCAGGGATTGTGTTGCTGTTTTACGAAGCTATTTGTTGGCTGCATTTATATGTTTTCATTTATTATTTGGATTAACTTTTTTATGTTGATAAGTGTCTATTTTGCAACTCTTACCAGCTATATTAATGTAGCATGCTAGTTTATATTATCGCATAAAATTCTGCACTGGTTGTGGTCTATGAAGCTAAACTAGTTGCTCCCACCTTGTCCCTAGATTCAATAGTTCCTGGTATCTGGCCATTGTTCACTGGGAAACTCTTTCCTTATTTCATAAAAATTTAGCATTATTACATTTATTCAATATCTTTAACCATTGCAGTGTTTTCTTCTTGATTTTTAGCTGCTAACATAACATGTTACATCAATGTGTTTGGCAGATATGGTTTTTCATGTTTGGGTATTGAGTTAATATTCGATTATACAAATTATCGTTTGTTAGCCACCATTCTAATTTGTTGCAATATAGGTCTATTTTTAATGTATTCATGTTTTTATGCTGGCCTACTTTGCAAAATAGGCATCAAGGAGTCGGACACTGGATTAGCAGCTCCTAGCCAATGGGATCTTCTCTCTGATAAACAGATGATGCAGGAGGAGCAACCGCTCCAGGTATTGTTAGAATGATTTTCTATGGAACTGTGTATTTATGTTACCCTTTTTATTACTTTGTTGATTATTTATTTCATCCAGGTGGCTAGATGCACAAAAATCATTAATCCTAATACAGAGGATGCCAAATATGTTATTAACGTCAAACAAATTGCCAAGGTATTTATCATTAAAATAGTTTCTCAAACAAATATGTTTTTAATGTCAAACAAATGTTTGTCAATCTGGTTATTGAACATAAACATTCTAGAGTTAACATAGTTTCTTTGTCAGAAGAATAAACATAACATTCTTTTGGTCTGATATGCTTACGGGTTCTAATTGCAGTTTGTTGTTGGGCTGGGTGACAAAGTTTCCCCAACCGATATAGAAGAAGGCATGCGTGTGGGGTAAGTTTTCAGTTTCCTGAAAGATCACATGTTGAATATTGTTTACAGATGTAGATTTTCAGTTATTCTTGTACACTTTGGCTAAAGTATTATATCATGTAAATAGTTTATTTCTCACTGCAGTTACATTACTGCAGTTATTCTTGTTTAGATTATTTGCTTGTTGCCACCACCATTGAGGGCATATGGAAAACCCCTGGGCCTTGCCTACCGTGGTTTTGTACGACCATTGATTTCTCTTTTGGCATTTTTCCCCTTAAAGAGAGATTCAACCTTGAGGACTTTACAACATCTAGCACTGTAGCCAGGAAATGATCATTGTCACCAAGTATAACTATTCAGGCTATTCTTATGATACATTCATCTTATTTTGTTGGAAGGATAACATGTAGTTGTTACTAAAAAAATAGTAGTAGCATTTTATTCTATGCTTTTTGTGAGTTTTCATTAATGCCTTCATTATTTTCTCAATGGAAGCAAATCATGCTCTTTGTCCTTGTAAATTATTTTCCTTAATTATTTATCAGCTTCTTATTAGCTCCTGATTGTTATCCTGCCTTTGCAGTGTTGATCGAAACAAATATCAGATACAGATTCCCTTACCTCCAAAGATTGACCCTAGTGTCACCATGATGACTGTGGAGGAGAAGCCAGACGTGACATATAATGATGTCGGTGGATGTAAGGAACAGATTGAGAAGATGCGGGAAGTGCGTGTGACACTTCTTTTTAACATGTACTGTCACACACAAATTTGAAAAGCTGCAGCCTTTGTATTGATGAGTTTTGTTACTTTAGGTTGTGGAGCTGCCCATGCTTCATCCTGAGAAATTTGTCAAGCTCGGGATTGATCCTCCTAAGGGTGTTCTTTGCTACGGTCCTCCGGGAACTGGTAAGACTCTTCTTGCAAGAGCTGTTGCAAACAGAACTGATGCTTGCTTCATTCGTGTTATTGGAAGTGAGCTCGTTCAAAAATACGTCGGTGAAGGAGCTAGAATGGTTCGAGAACTGTTTCAGGTTATAACCTGATAACTATCAATGTTCAAGTTTTCTCTTGAAGTTATTCTATATTACATTTTGATTTTGATGTTATTGAATACTGTAGATGGCTCGATCAAAGAAAGCATGCATTGTATTCTTTGATGAAGTCGATGCAATTGGAGGTGCACGTTTTGATGATGGTGTGGGTGGAGACAATGAGGTTCAGCGTACCATGCTCGAAATTGTCAACCAGCTTGATGGTTTTGATGCTCGTGGAAACATCAAAGTCCTGATGGCAACGAACAGGTTGAAATTGCTACATATAATTTGAACTCTTTAAATAAGCATCAAATCACCTTTTTCCCCTTTTAAGACATCCCAACCCGGGTCTAATGTTCACAAAAGGTTTAATTTGATTTATTCTACAAAGGATTTGAATGTGCACAGGAGATGTTTATGGATTTGATGTGTCCTTTATTTTTGTTCATATTCCAGGCCGGACACGCTAGATCCTGCATTATTACGTCCTGGACGATTAGATCGTAAGGTTGAGTTTGGTCTCCCCGATTTGGAGAGTCGGACACAGATATTTAAAATTCACACAAGAACAATGAACTGCGAGCGTGACATTAGATTTGAACTTTTAGCCCGGCTTTGCCCAAATTCTACTGGTAAAATCTCGGGAAGTTCCTTTTTTATTGTTCTTGACTTGCTCCACTCTGTTTTATATCAACATTTCTTGGTTTTTATTCGCAGGAGCTGATATAAGAAGTGTGTGCACCGAGGCTGGAATGTATGCAATTCGGGCTCGAAGAAAAACAGTAACAGAGAAAGATTTCCTTGATGCGGTTAACAAGGTCATAAAGGGATATCAAAAGTTTAGTGCAACACCAAAATACATGGTTTACAATTAGCCCGAAGATCGGTGCGACTCTCAACTTCGGAAACACATGTATGTGGGTCTATCATGTTCAATTGTATTGGTTTTCGTAGATGGAGATTTCTAAACATTTGGTAATTCATTGTTTTACTTGTTGCAATTTGTTTGCTTGTCTGGCTTTTGTAATGATGACTACTCCCATTGGAAAGCTGGTACGAATCAAACAGCACTTTCTTTTTGTTCGCATAGCAACCTTTAAATAAAAAAAATAATATTATTTCTTAATTTATCTTAGTTGAAGAGAATAAAATAAAATGTGTTTCGATACCAGGTTCCTCGAATAGAAATAGAAATTTGTTTCTCAAGGTTAAGCATATATGAGCTCAGCCATTGGTAACCTGAAGAGTCCTTGGTACCATAGTGGGAACCATTCATTATATGCGAGACAATTCGAGGGGGCTGCAACAAGAATGACACCAAAAGTCAGGGATATCACATTATAGAACTTCGAATTCAGTATTGTTTAACTATCCATATTTTACTGCAAATGCAACTCTTGGTAGAAGTATGAAGAACAAAAGCACAACTAAAAGCACTTAGAAACGCACAGAACAAATTTGGGTTCATTCAGCATATCAAGCTAAATCCCTGCAATCATTCAAATCGGCGGACATCAGAAACTAAAATCCGGTATTCTCAAGTGCATACAAGAAGGAACAACATATGCATCTTCTAGGTGCCAAACGCAGGAACAAGCAAATGATTGTTTTACAAAGGGGTTTGCTATGTATGAGCTGAGCCACTGAAAAGGGGAAGAAAAAAGAACCTGGAGGTATGTAATCTGAACATTGGAAACATCCTTGGTTATTATAGATTTCAAGAAAGTCTCGGATGGCTGTCCGAGTTGAGCTGTTTCTTGAAATCGCTTAAACCAACACCAATCCAATTGTTTGAACAAAACCGGATTTGTTATCTGAGTGAAGCCCTGGGGCGCCTTTTCTAGACCAATCCAAGCCTTATTCTTCTTGAGAACAACAACATTAAAATGCGTATCGACGAGGCATGAAATGCAAATACGAGGTGTGGGGATTAATGGGTATACCTTGTCGGATACCAAACCGACATCGTTTATGAGATGAAAAAAACAATCTGCCCCTCACTGTGATTCCTTTTTCCCCTTTAATACCATTTTCCAACTATATATGCTTAACAACTTATGAGTATTGGAAATGAATGGAAGCAAAAGGATGTGTATATGCAGAGGTTTCGAACAACAGGCAAAATATTATCTTTTCAAATAAGCTCAAGCTTCACCCTGTTTGTTCATGGTTCTTAAACTGACATTTAGCAGACGATTAAGAATCTTAAAAGAGACATCTTTTGTGAAAAATATCAGTACTTCAATTTGTTGGTATTTATTTTCAAATTTAATTTAATTTTATTTGTAGGTTAATTTCTGTAGAACTGTTTTAATGCAAAAAAAAAAAATGATCTATTAGTAGTATCTATCTTCTTCATTAACTTTGGACTCAACTATGTTGACAATTCATATGTTTGATGGTCTCTTTATCTCAAAATATTAAAAAAGTTTCAACTTGATAACTTTTGTTTTCAGTTTAGTCCCTGAAATTCTTGCCCAACTAAATTCCTGGACTTTCCCATTTTAGTTTGATTACATGACACTCTAAGGGTGTTACATCAAAGCAACCAAAAATCCAAGTTTAATCTACTAAATCAGGAAAAGATTTACCAAATTCAGCCCAATGTTTCCTCAACTATTTAAACTGATGGAGTTGTAATTTACAGAGTCAATAAAAGAATTCAGGTTTAGGGGGTTAAATTCATGAAATACACTAAGAATGTTGTAAAATTAACCAGTAATCACTTAATTGCTCTTATGATATACTATATATAATGTTATGACAGGGAGAGGGGGATATTTCTGCATATTCTTCACTCATCACCTGAGATGAAGTTTGGATCTTCACCCTGGCATAAGTATTCATCACATAAAGATGATGTTCCCCAGTCTTTCCGGAGCCGTAAAATGTCCTCCGTGAAAGTTGAACCGGGGGCTCCAATGAACACACTTGCCATAGCACAGATGGTCTTATCCAGCATAGCTTCCACCTTCAATACGAAGATTAAGAGCAAATTTAGATTGATCTAAACGAAGTAGAATCAATATGGATAGTAATGTTAAATGCAGTTCGGGTGCCCGATCATTGATTCACAGAACTCTTTGTATCTGAGTCAACCTGCATGTAACTAACAGATTGGACCCGAAATCTAGAAAATCATGAACTCATAAGGGTTTTTTAGGGCTTAGAGTCTTTGATGGGGAGAAGACTAACTATTTTAACCATCGAGTAGAATAGAATACGGGAAAGTTTGAAAAACAGAACAACTCATATGGTTCTCCCTACAGACACTAAAGTAGTATCGAGCTCTCACCTGATGATCACCCTCGAGGCCGTGTCTGTATAACAAGGCATCCCATTTTTCAGCTGAATTATGATGAGGCCGTTTAACCAGTGGTATAATCTTCCCATTCAGCACAATCATCGATTGTAGCAAACCGGTTTCGCTTTCTGCTGCATCTGTTGAAAGGTATATAACAGGAGTGCTGGCTTTTTCAACCATTCGAGTAATGCAATCCGCAGCTTGAGGAATTGGGTAAAAGCAGCTCGGCTTTTTAGCATTGCTGGGACATAAGAAAGAAATGTTAGTGGCAGTTTACACAAACCAACACCAATCATGAGCACAACCCTTTCAACTCGAGTGGATATTCTAAATAATTATGGTCAGACTCTTCCGTGCTCTAGCGAATTTCCAAACAGTTCGAAATCAAAGCCTATAGACTCTTAATACTCCGCATATGAAAACAACACTTTATCAAACATCATTTTAATGCTCTACTTTCTATGATCTAGCATATTACCATTGCTTAGAAGTAAAGATTCATACTTTCCTAGGCAAGAACTCGCAATAAAATCGAAAAACATACCAGAACTTCAAGAAGCCATGTCGCCGGAAATGAAGAGCGATAAAATTACTGCCCAAATACGTCTGAATGAACCGTTCAGCAGTCAACAAGATAAGCTTACTCGGCTCTATCAATGCCTTACACTTATGCGCAATTGGACCGCCTGGTTGCGACACCCAATCTCTCTCCACATTCGCAAAATATACATCCCCAATTGCAATAACATCATCATTATAACCAAACTTCTCCTCCACATTCCTAACCGTCTTTCGACTCGGATTCTTAACATCCTCATTCTTCCAAGCAGCCTCCAATTTCCCCATCGAAATTCCCAAAGACTTTAGCTTCTTCAAATGCTCTTCGTCAATGTAACACGGCTGCGGGCTCGAAAAATAGCAAATGAATTTATCAATGTGAGCGTGATGCTTCCTCATTTTCAGGAATTCTTCGAAGGGTACAGCAGTTTTTTTCCCAATACAATCGTTAATGTGCTCGATATCCAGAATTCGGTTGTACTGATAATCGAATCTCGAACTCGGAATCACCAATGCCCGATTCAAAACCGCCGCAAAAAACATGTGTTTCTCTAAACAAATCAAATGGTTGCTCATCTGACCCGACAAGCAAATCGGGAACAAGAATTTATTGGGTTTTGGTCTCCATTCGATTGTTCTTCTTTCGGAAAATCTCTGATCGACTTTGCTGCAACTCTGGAAACCGTGGCCGGCGAAATTGGAATCGAAAGCGGTGTCGTTTTGAAGGGTATTCCCCGTTTTGTAAGGGGACAAAAGGGTTTGCTGGATGTGTTTGTTTAACGTGATCTGAGTGAGTAATGCGGCCTTGATGTCATCAAATTGGACGGCCGTGATGTTGTTATCAGAGCTAACGAAAGTGTGATTCCACAGAGAAAGAAGAGAGCCTTGCTGTTGATTCAACAAGTGGAGAGCTTGGAGCTGAGATTCTCTGGTTCGATCCGACACCGTATTGAATTTGAAGGAGGAGATGTCAGAAGTGAAGAGAGAGCCGATATCGGCGGAGAAATAGATTAAGACGATGAGGAGAGGGAGCACGAGGGCGAAGAGATAACCTTTGTTGAAGGCGAGTTTAGGACGACGTCGCATTTGCGGTTCTTCCTCTTCGACATGGAAACTGGATCTTGGGGTGTCGTTTTGGTGGGTTAATTTGTGACTGCCGTCTTCTTCTTCGGATGAATACTGGTCCATTGTTAGATTAGGAATGAGCGAGCGAGTGGAGGAGTGAGTGAATGACTGAGTCTGTGATGATATCTCGGGACTTGAGACAAATGAAAATCTGGGTTTTCGGTGATTATTGGTTTATAATTTAGGGATTTGATTGAGAAAGCTTTGAGAACATTTTTTTCTTTTTCTGAGTGGAGTTGGAGGTGGCGCAGGTTGGGGAGGAAGGAACGATCGGTGAAAAAACCCGACTCCGGCCACGATCTGATATTTCCCAACACGGAAACGACATCGTATTATTCCCTCACAGCATGAGATATTGCCGAGTAGCTAAAACGACAGGTGACAGCATTGCTATACACACGTGGATAGTGACATTTAAAGTAAACTATACATTTAAATTCAATTAAATTATTTCATTAATTCTTACATAATATGTTATATAAGTTATGAATTTAACTTATATAATTAAAATTAATAGCAAAGTATACAACTGAATTATAAAGCGTTGTTTTGTTTATTCATTTGATTATTAAAAGTTATGAAATGATCATCTAATTATAGGATATTACATTTTTGAGTCATCGTCTATTAAAAATTATAAAATAATCATCTGACTATTCATATGTTTCATATTCGTTTTTTTGTTAAAAGATTGACAACAATCTAAACAGGATGTTAACCTGCTGACTGTGATATAATAAAATATGATCTTAAAATCTTAAACAACTATCATATCTCAGTCAATATGTTAATGTCTAACTCATAATGTCGTCAATTTTTAACGAAAAAAGACGAGCTTAAAATATATGAATAATCGAATAACTATTTTATAAGTTTTAATAATTAAGAAACTCAACAAATCAATACTTGTAATTAAAGGACCATTTTATAACTTTTAACAACCATGAAACTCAACAAAACAAACGAACCATTTATATATTTTACCCTAAATTTAAACATTTTTAAATTTTTAGTCTTGAGTTAAATATTAATCATAAATTCCATTAAAATAAAATCTTTTAATTCCTTATAATTTATTCATTGTGTCCATATATTATTTAAGTTAAAATTGAAATTTCAATTTTTTTCTAAAAAATATAGTATGTATTATTATTGAACAAGTTAAAAAACATGAACTAAATACACAACTTAGGTCTAGTATAGGGACTAAAAACAAAATTTGACCTTATGAAACTTCTCCAGTTACTTCAACAAGCTTACCACGAACCCATTTCTTGGTTACAGCGACTGGTTTAGAAGGCACACCATCATCCTCCAACTGAACTTTGGTTCCAATTTACCGGAGGACTCTTCTCGTGTTCGATGGCCCCGTTTGTTTCCAACGGGTTGTGTTGCTTAGATGAATCCGACTTGATCGAAGTTTCGAAGCCAAAGTTGATGAACTATGGTTATTCAGAGAAGCACGTTGTACATCGCTGTCGCCGTTCACTGCCTTTGGGAAAATGAATCTGGGGAGATCAAACTCCTCATGCTTGCTAAATGAAAGGGATTGATTCCCGTTTACTTCTTTCGGTTCAGCTTGGTTCGAACGGATGTTTCCTAATTGCATTTTGTTCCTCACTTGGCTAACCGGTTCAAACGAGTCGACAGAAACGTATCCGATGTTCTCGTTGGATGCAATTTGCCCAATCTCTATCGATTCAATTGATCGAATTGCTTCGGCTATAAGTTTTCTGGTTTCAATAAGGGCAGCTCGAGCAACAGGGCTCTTAATTGCAGCCACCTCGAGGGCCTTTGCAACCTCCTCGGCTTCAGCAATTAAAAGTCTGCAGTGTCATATATGCAAGCACCAAATTATCCAGTGAATTAGCAGCAGCCTACTAAAAATGATGGAAGATGATGCATGGGAATGATTCAACGGAATTATCGATATGGCATCGATACATTTAACATAATATGCTTGTGGAACATAAGAAAAGACTAACCTCACTCTTTCAACAGCTTCGGTTTTCTTTGTTTCTTCAGCTGCTCTTTGTGCTCTTATGTTCTTCAACATCTTGAGCTTGGAACTTGCCATAGGATCCTTGTAAAGTGGTTTATTTCATCTTCGTATCCTTATCCGCTCGATTGGGCTTATAGGCTCACTAGCAGAAGAATCGATTATATCGCTAGCTTTCCTTTTCAAAGGGCTCTGTTTAGATTGTGTACCAGCTGTTGGCTTCCTCTTCGGTTTTCTTTCAGCCCCAGATGGAATGCCATGAAATTTAGCCAACCCGGAGCAAACTCTCTTGCGGTACTCCTATTCAGAAAATAACAAGAACCGAACACCCGCATTTAGACGCAAAGGTTTAAAATCTATGAAGCGGAATAGGAATAATACAATCCGTATATGCCTCTGATCAATGACATAATTTTCACTGCTGATGTGGAGAAAAAGAAAAGAAAAGTGCAAGCACTTACGGGATCAGCCCATTTGGCCCCAATGGCTTCTGCAATTTTCCTTCTTTGTTCAAGGGAATTTGGTGCTCTCTTGCAACCTTTCGGTCTAGGCATCGATTTCCTTTGTTCGACACTTCCCGGCCACTCCTTTGTCAACTGCTCATCTAGTATCTTATACGAATCCCACTGTAGCTCTTCCTCACCGCAATAGCCTTTTCTAGATGCTTCGCCGATCAAGCTCATCCACTCAAAGTGGCAAGTTTCCTGCAACATTAACTTCCCTCGACGCCTTTCCCATCCCATTCGGACTCCAACTCCGATTTTCACTCTCGTCTCTTCACTGTAGGATAATCATGAAAAGAATAAGTTTAGACATTAACAAGGTCAAAATGAAAGCATGTATATGTATATATCTGAATGGTAGGAGTGGCTAAATTTAAAGCACCCACCTCTGCGCATGTCCAAAGTTAACCAACTTCATTTTAACCTGCATTTCAAAATTTCTATGAGTGAATAAACTATAATGTTATTCCATTTAAACATACTTAAATACGAGATAATATCAATTGATGTAAGGCGATCTCCTTGTTCAAGAGATTGAACCATTGAAACAGACTATGCATTCGATTGTTTGCTTTGTTGGCTTTTTCGCTTAACTAGTTTCCACAATCGGAATCGTCATTAGTACATCATTCATCCTAATGAAAATTATGATGCAAAAAAGAACTAAATGGTCCGATTACAATGATTTAATAGATGTGATTGATTCTACCCCAAGCAAACATAAAACACACAAAGTTCAATCCCCGTGATAACATAAAAATTTCTTACATGACATCACCTTAGGATTCTGAATTGCAAGCTTGTTCTCTCCCTTATCCGCTGAAGCGTCTCTGAGGCAGATAAAAATGAAGACATTTGTGGTAACATTGTAACGAATCAACAATGCACGAAAGAAAAACGAACCAGAATTTAATGGAAATTACCTGCACTGTGATTCCTGCCTTTGTTCCAGTGTGTGTTTCCTTTATTTGCTTTAGAAATCCTCATCCGCCTCAACTTTTCCCTCTCGTCCAATTCTTCATCCGAGTCTCCAGTCCCCAAAGGTTTGGGCCGAGTCAATGAAGGGCTTGATCGCCACCGAGCTGTAACTTATTGTTGCGCCCATCCTGTTCCAGAATCGAGCACTTTGGCTCGAGGGTTGCAACAGCTCTAACCTGGAGTTTCCCACAGTGGCTCTCCTAGTGCCCAAAATGAAAATTTCTCCTCCAAAGAAATGGGGAGGATTTCCATGGATTTGACAAAACTTGAACACTCACCGGAACAACAATAAACATGCTCATCAGCTCATTTAAAACCAAATTTGAAAATTGAAATTGTAAAGCAAGCCAGAGCAGGGAAAATTAAAGACACCAATATTTCTCAACACCCTGACCACACAAATTCCATAAAATTAATCCAAATTGAACCTAAACATGTAAATGTTTGCTAATTTCTTCTTCAAGCATCCAAAGGAGTAAAATCTAGAAGTAAGGTAAGCAAAAAAGCATACCTAGTAAAGGCATGGGAGCTCATTCAACCCAAAGACTCAGAACTTGGAATCTCTTATCTCCACAAAATTTAATAAAAGAAGCGAGAAGCCGACATTCCAGCCTGCCAGGAGGGAAGAATTACGAATTTGAGATACAGAGAGAACCACACAGGACCATGCACACTAGTACTACTTCTCTGACGCTGGGTTTTGTGGATAACGATGGACTTATATTTCCCACTTGTGAAAGCCTCCATTGGGCCTGCTTATTTGGTGGGTTGGGTTATATTCATCAGATAATCATGTATGTAAGTGAAAGAGAATGTTAAGCCTAAACAATTAGTATATTACATTTTGATATTTAATTTTTTAATTTTTAAAATTATACTTAAAATTTAATTTTTATTTTATTTTAGTATCCTTTTTCAAAATTTAGCCTTAAATTTTGGGGAAAATTGAAAATTTATTGATACTAAAACACACTAAAACTGATAGTTTATGTACTAAACGCTTTAAGTTTTTAACGATAAAATACTAAAATAAAACAAAAAATTAAATATTAAGTATGATTTAAAAAAAATAAAAACTTAAATATATACGTAATTTACCATAGTTTCTTTGACTGAACATCTATCCCACATCGTTGATAGCGGACAAAAGAATACGTCAAAACCAAGAATAACAACATAAAATCTTCAACGACTCTAACGTTACAGTCGCAATTCTTCGCACTAATCATCTTCCATTTCCCAGTTGACGGCGAAAGCAAATCATCATTATCTCTGTCATAAGGGGTTTTCGTTCGAGTACGAATATTTTCTTGGCGTGAAAAAGAAGAAGAATAAATAAATTATTTTTATTTTAAAAATATTTTGGGAGTCACCATCGACCTTTTTAGATTATGTAGGTCAAATACCTGAAAATAATCTTTTAAAAGAATTTTTAGGAAAACATAATTTAAAAGATAAACATGTCTGCGTATAACCAAAAATTTATTTTTTTAGTAATAAAAGGGATTCGTGGGCGGTTACGTTTAGGGAATGATTAACACCTCTATAACGTCCAAAATTGGTACCCATTAATTATAAATTGTCTCGATTATTAAAAATTTAAGAATTCAAATATTTTTAATTTATAATCTTGTTATTTCAAATTTATTAGCATAATTTCAAGAAAAATATATTAATTTTTATATTTTAATATATATATATATATATATATGTTTATATTTTTATAAATAAGATATTTATTTACTTAAGAATATCAGAAAATGACATCTAGTTGCTTTAAAACAACTCCTTTCTTAATATTAAAA